TACAATTTAAAATATTTTCAGATAATTGGCAAAAAAGCTTTTTTTTTAGGGTGAGGAGGGAAAATGCTTTTACGCACACAGGTAGCCAGCCTGTAGTGTGAGACTCCTGAGTTTATCACAGACTACTCACTAAAAAACCCCCTCTACTCTGTTGGACACAGACCTGGAATTGTTTGTCACATTACTTCAAGTCAGGCCAACATGTGACCTAAGCCCACAGGGCTCGCACCGTTTCTGGCATTATTTATTTTTTGACCTACACCGCATCCCGGTCGAGGTCAAGCTTCTTGGCGCGGAGAACACCCTGGATGTAAAGTGACACACAGGTCCAATTGTCCTCACCCTCCATCATCATCGGTATGACCGTGTCCACCGACAGCAGTCCTACGAACTGTTGAGCCTCTAGGCGGGGCCTTTCCCAATGCTGGCAGTGGAAGAAAGTGTGTTCCACGTCATCGGGAATGCCTGGGCAGTATATGCAATCGGGTGACACGGCTTTGCCCATCCTGAACAAGTACGACCGGAAAAAGCCGTGACCCGTCAGAAATTGGGTGAGGTAGAAGTTCACCTCTCCGCACCGCCGATTAACCCAAGGTTGGACCTGTTGTATCAGTCGCCTGGTCCAGAGCCCCCTTGTCTCCTGTTCCCAGCTCTCCTGCCACAGCTGGAAGGTCCGGGTGCGTTCCTCAATACTTGCCTGGTCCTCCCCACGGCGCTGATAAATTGCCTTCCTCTCCGCCGCCAAAAGTTTGACGGGGATGACTCCAGCAACCACCAGGACGGCGGGTTCGGACACTGTTCGATAGGCAGATGCTACCCTTAGTGCTGCCTGACGCTGCACTCGGGCGAGCCGCATCCTATATACCTCCTTATTGAGAGCGTCTGCCCAGACCTCCGCACCGTACAGGAGCACTGACTGGACCGCAGACATCAACAGCCTTCTGCGGCTGGACCGTGGACCTCCGACATTGGCCATTAACCGACTAAGGGAAGAAACCATTTTAGCGGCCTTGTCCGCCGTACGGGTGATCTGGTCTCGCCAGCTGAGCTTGCTGTCCACCATGACCCCAAGGTACTTTGCGGCACGAGTGGTTTGAACTTCAACCATCAAAGGCACGATGGTGTCAATCCTCTTTTTAGTCAGAATGACAATCTCAGTTTTGCTCAGAGCGAGCGAGAGACCATGTTCTGCCATCCATGCGTTAATGGTTCGCATGACTCGATTTAGTTTCAGCTGGGCAAGCTCAATGCTACGTGCAGCTATTAAAGCCGCAACGTCATCTGCATACCCAACTAGGACAGTTTCCTCAGGCATCTCGGATCTCAAGAGGCTGTCGTAGGCGACGTTCCAGAGGTCCGGGCACAGTATGGATCCTTGAGCAGCACCAGAAGTTACATCCATCGTCCTGGAGCCTTCTGTAGTGTCGTAAAGGATGAGGCGGTACCGGAGGCAGTCCTCTATCATGCGCATGAGGTATGCCGGGACGTGAAAAGTGTTCTCCAGTGCGTCGAGCATATCGCACCACCTTGCGGAATTAAATGCGTTTCGCACATCAAGTGTTACAAGCAGCACAACCCGACGAGAATAGTTGTTAAACTCCTCAGCTCTCATTACGGCTCGCTTTACCTCCTCAATAGCGTCAACCGTTGACCGTCCCTTCCTGAAACCGTACTGACGAGGGGATAGATTCCCTGCAGCAACCACGGCTGAATTCAGTCGGGAACGGATCAACTTTTCCAAGACTTTCCCAGCAGTGTCCAACATACAGAGAGGTCTGTCCTTTTCCCTTCCCCACGAGCACAAGCCTAGCTGTTTTCCAGCAGAAGGGAAACTTCCCCTCGGCCAGACAGGCATTGTACGTGCTCAAAAGGATTTGTGGGTTTATTGAAAATACTTTCTTCAGGGCCTCACCAGGTACCCCATCCGGTCCAGGAGCCTTGTTGTTCTTCAGGGACAGAACGGCCGCCTCCAACTCCTCGAGACTGAAAAGCGGTACGTCGTCCACCCTTCCGAACTCCCGCAATGGGCGCAGTGTGTGAGTCGGGAAAAGGGACTTTACGATCCTCTCCATAGAGGCCCCGTCCATAACGGAAGGTGGAGAGCGGGTGCCAAGCTTCTTGGTTACTATCTTGTAACCAAGGCCCCACGGATCGGAATCGACATCGTCCCTTAATTTCTCCCAGCAACTGCGTTTGCTCCGGTTAATGGCCCGGCGAAGAGACTTCCTAGCCACCTTGTAAGCGTCAGACTTAAGACGTCTATCTTCAGGTTCTCTGGCCCTGGTAGCAAGACGTCTGGCTCTCAATGCTGCCCGTCGTAGTTCTGCGATCTCGGTTGTCCACCAGTACACAGGTCGCTTATCGCACCGGGATCTCCTGCGAGGCATTGACTCTTCGCAGGCCGAGACTATCAGCCTCATCAATGATGTAACTGATGTCTCTGCGTGAGCCACGCCAGATGCAGCAGGTACCACTGGCTCTCCCCGTAGTATGACTTCGGTGAATTTGGCCACGTCCAGCTTTTTGGTGTTCCGCCGAACGGGCACCTGCCGAGACACGGTAGCTTGTCTCTGATGACTATCCATGACATCAAAAATGATGTACTGGTGGTCACTGGCCGTATAATCCTCTAGGACTCTCCAGGCTCGTATCCTCGGCAAGAGGGACTCAGATGCAAGCGTGATGTCTGGGATCGTTCCCCTCATTCCGGGACGCTGGAAAGTTGGCGTGTTGCCCTCGTTTATGACAACAAGTCCAGCCCTGGCAGCAAAGTCCAGGATGTACTTCCCCCGGGAACAAAAAAGCTTAGGACCTACAAAACAGTAACTATTAAGGAAAAAAGTTAAATTAGGCACAAGTGCACGCTCAGGGCTTCTTAATCTTTCTTTATAAGTATTAATAGGCTTCCTGAAATCTCCACTTAACTCATAACACATTTTTAAGACTTTTTGTAAATACATGCATTTTAAAGGTATAATTTTTAAGTCTAAGAAAAGAGGTTGTGATGGTTCCATTTTGCTCTTTTTCTTAATTACCCTAAAAAACTTTTTTTTGTATTATGTAAATAGGTTTCAGTTTAGATTCAAAGGTACCACCCCAGCAAAAAAGCCCATAATCTAATCTACTATTTACAAGTGCAAAGTATAAAAGTCTCAAAACATTTTCTGGGCAAATGTCCTACAAAAAATACAAATATCTCAATGTGCTATTTAGTTTCATTTTTAAAATATGAATGTGATTAACGCAGCTAACCTCTTGATCTAGGACTAAGCCTAGATACTTAATACTATTGGTTTGCTGAACTACAGCACACTTATCAGCACACTGACTACCTGAGCACAAACTTTTAGGGCAAGTGTAAATAATACATAATATCATTTTTGGTACAGGTTACTTTAAAAACCAAGTGAAGCTGTAAATGTAGTTGTAAATAATTTTCCTTTGTGTATAATGCAGAGGGCAGCCCAAATACAGTTGTCTGTACAATTTTCCTTCTAGAACTAGAAGCTATAAACTTATTTCATTTGTCAGAATTTTAAACTTGATCAAAGTTTCTTTATAAAATAACAGCTTAATAAAGTGAATATTCAATTTTAAATACAGTTTTTTTTTATTATTCATAATTGTATTTGGGCTGTAATGCAGGGTTCTGTTGTGTAGGTTATTATTTTACAACAGATCACGGTACCCACCCCGAAAATATGTCATATTGTACACTTAAATATTTAATTTAATTTTATAACCCGTCGGAAGTTGGCTGGATTCCACAGAGTGAGCTGTATGTCGATGGTTCGGATGATTTTTGATCATTTTCCACCCCTTTCATTTTTATGTAACATATGCACAATTTAAGCTTACATGTACCGCAACTAATTAATAAAAACTTTGGAAATCGGTTTGAATTATAATTTTACTACCCGTCAAAAGTTGTCTGGATTCTACAGAGTGAGCAGTATGTAAACGATTAGGGGGACTTTTGATCATTTTCCACCAACTTTAGTTTCTTATAACATATGTACAGTATAAGCGTACATGTACCTCAACTAATTTCAGCAATAAAGATTTTGGGAATTGGTATGGAACATGATTTTACTACTCGTCTAAAGTTGTCTGGATTCTACAGAGTGAGTGGTATGTAAATGATTAGGGGGACTTTTGATCATTTTCCACCATCATCATTTTATTTATATATATACACACAATAAAAGTTAAGTTTACAATTTCAGCAATGAAAACTTTGGGAGTTGGTTTGGAACATCATTTTATTTCCCGTCGAAAATTGACTGGTCTCTAATGGCGTTATCCCTATCGTTAAATTTTGTTTCTATTGGAGTTTTAATAGTGAGGTCACTTTTCGATTAACTGACTGTACGGGATTGTACTGCGGAGCGGAGGAGAAGTGAGGGTACGGAATTTCTCCCTAGCCGTTAGCTGGCGTTAGCTGTCTTCACGAAGGTCTATTTGATGTACGGAAAGACGCGAGTTGCATGATAATTGTGTAATAGGTTGCAACCTAAAAGAGGTGACTATAAAGCCAGCAAGTTGGGACACAAGTCCCATTTGCACACGCACAGATCTGCCATAATGCATAGGCATTTATTTATCTGGCGTATATTTCGATGTATGCACAAAAGCAAATTCCTCCCTGTACATTTAATGATGAGAGTTAAATTTGGCGTTTCTTTTCCGAGTTCGTTTGACTCTTCTAAACGATCGACTTTTAATTTTGGTCTTATAAAAGGTATGGGTCTTATAAAAGGTATGCACGGATAGATTTGCTATTAAGCATCGTCTTTGTTTTACCTACTGTTATATATGTATATGTATGGCTTTATAAATGGATTCAATCCAGTATGTCCCAATTGGACTGGACTGGAGTAGAACTAGCTCCAGCGGCTTCACGTCATTCTTCACTAATCCAGGTACAAAGTGAGATCGTTTATTACAGCTCTTCTAAGTATATTTTATCATAGTTAACATGGCGGCAGCGGTGATAAAACCCAACCATTATTGATTTCTTGAAGAATATATGATAATAGATGAAAAAGTGAAGTTTCTTTTAATCTGTGCGAGTTTTAAAAAGTCTGTTTTTCGTGGTTGAAATACACGGCAAGGTAGTAAGTTTTAACACAAAACGTGTCGGAACGCTAGACTCAGAAAATCTCAATTTTGTTTCTAGAGCTCATTAATTGTAAATTACCACTAAAAGCTCTGTTGGATTTTTCTTTTACAAACTTTCAATTTTTATATGCACTTTAGATCTTTTTATAGTAGGCTAGGCCCAATCAGTTGGCATAAAATTGAAAGTAGGTCATGGAAGTTTTCATGTTTGAGAGTGCAAGAAAAGTTCAAGTTTTGACAGGAAAGAAGTAAGCCTAGGCCAACTCTACTTTGATGTTTGAAATTAGTTAAACTTATGTTGAAAATGCATTGCTATGAAATTAATATACAGTTCTATGCCTAATTTACTAGCCTACAAGTGTGAACAAAATATAAACTATTTAAAAGGCTAAAAAATTGTAGGCCTATGCCTAGTTTGTGAGATTTTTCTAAGAGTAGGTCTAATACTACCAAGCCTAAAATATCGGCTTAGTTTATTTAGGACAAGTTGATTTGGTAAATATTTAACTTCTTTTTATGCATTTAAGCTACATTTATTTGTTTGAATTTTTAAAATGCCTAAAGGATCTCAGACGGCTGGTTCTGAGGATGAACTTGTAAAGCCTAGTACGTTGGTAAATTTAACTATGAATTTGCCTCCACCATCATCTATGGAAATAAAGGGTGATGTCCTAGACAATTGGAAGTTTTTCAAACTTCAATTCGAAAACTATTCAATAGCCACTGGGCTGAATGATAAAGATGAAGAAGTTAAAGTAGCAACGTTTCTGTCTGTAATAGGCAAGGACTGCCTTAAAATCTACACTAGTTTAGATCTAGGCGATGATGACAGCACAGAAGATAAATTGAAGACTATAATAGCAGGCTTTGATAAATATTTTCAACCGGAAAAAAATGTTATTTATGAGCGATATGTGTTTGGGTCAGCTAATCAGTTACCGAATGAGAAGATAGAACAGTACGTATGCCGGTTGAGACAGTTAAGCACGACTTGTGATTATTCAGCTCTAGAATCTGAAATGATTCGAGATAAGTTAGTTTTAGGTGTTTCAGATCTAAGTCTCCGCAAGAAACTTCTGTCGGATAGCAAACTAACCTTGTCTGCGGCCATTGATATATGCAGGGCTCACGAGGCTACTGATAACCAGTTGAAGCATATCAGTAAAAATGAAGGTGCATGTGAACAGCAACAGGAGGTAAACAAGGTTTTTATGAAGGAAAGAAAACATCAGAGCCAAGGTAGGCCAACACATTTCCCTAGTTTTAGAAATAGGAGAACTTGTCTTTTTTGTGGGAACAATCATGAAATGATAAGAGATAAATGTCCAGCTTATGGAAAAACTTGTGATAGGTGTAATAGACCAAATCATTTTTCAAAAATGTGTAACAGTTCCGAGTCAAGACCTAATAAATGGCCTAATGCACCCAGAAAAAATAAGTTTGCTGATAACAAACACTCTGTTAACATTGTTGACGAAACTGACAGTAGTTCAGAATCTTTGTACAAAATTGAGAGCCTTAATTTAGCTAGTAAATCTAATTCAGTTTCGGACAAGAAACAATGGGTAACTAACCTAACTTTCAGTACAAGGCCTAGGCCTACTCTCGATCATGACCAGGTTTTTTGTGACTTTGAGTGTCAGCTTGACACGGGTGCTTCGTGTAATGTTATGCATAAATCTGACTTTGATAAAATCGCTCGTAAAGCAATTTCAGAATTCAGCAAGCCTAGTCTTAAAGATTCTAGTACTATTTTGAGGTGCTACAGTGGCAACACTATAAAACCAGTGGGTGAGACTGATCTTGTTTGCTATTTTAATGATAAGGTGTATTGTATGACTTTTCAAATTGTCGACATTCCTGCGTATCAAAGACCCCTTATTTCTGCGGAGACTTGTAAACAGCTAAAGATTTTGCAGGTAAAAGCACAATTGTGCAAAGTTGAAGATGTTGATACTTCGCTGTCAAATAATACTAACCAGCAGGACAATGATATAATTGATGAATTTGATGATGTGTTTACGGGTCTTGGTTGTTTACCAGGAATTTTTCACCTAGAAGTAGATGCTACTGTGGATCCTGTTAAAAACTCCCCGCGCAAAGTTTCCATACCGCTTCGTAAGCAGTTGAAAGAAAAGATTGATGAGTTAGAATGTCAAGGCATTATTGTAAAGGAGAATGCTCCTACTGAATGGATTAGCAATATTGTAGTCGTTATGCGTAACGGCAAGATGCGAATCTGTCTTGATCCACGACCGCTTAACGTTGCTCTTAAGCGATCACACTATCAAATTCCAACGATCGATGACATTTTACCAGACTTATCTAAGGCTAAAGTTTTCTCAGTGATGGATGCAAAGAATGGGTTCTGGCAAGTAAAACTAGATGAAGAGTCGAGCAAGCTAACAACATTTTGGACACCACATGGAAGATATAGGTGGACACGCCTGCCATTTGGCCTAGCTCCCGCGCCAGAAGAGTTCCAACGTAGACTACATGAAGTACTATATGATCTTGAAGGAGTTGCAGTGATCGCGGATGATATATTGATTTATGGTTGTGGTGACACAGGAGAAGAAGCCTCAAGAGATCATGATAGGAAGTTGAGGATGTTGCTTTTACGAGCAAGGGAGAAGAATCTAAAGTTAAATAGAAAGAAGATGAAGCTTAGGCAGACAGAAGTATCTTTTATGGGACATGTTTTGTCGAACACAGGATTGCGTCCCGATTTGTCTAAAGTACAGGCCATCACTGAAATGAAGAAACCAGAAAATGTGAAAGATGTCCAACGATTTTTGGGTTTTGTTAATTATTTAGCCCGTTTTGTTCCCACACTTTCGGACCTCTGTGAACCACTCCGACAGTTAACAAAGAAAGAGTCAGCTTGGATTTGGGACGAAACTCATAATCGATCCTTTGATAAAATTAAACAAAGCATTGCAAACGCATCAGTATTAAGATACTTCAATGTCCATGAACCACTGACTATACAGTGTGACTCAAGTAGTATAGGCCTAGGCGCATCGCTTCTCCAATCCGGGCAACCTGTAGCGTATGCGTCACGAACGCTATCCCCGGTAGAACGGAGATATGCACAGATAGAAAAAGAATGTTTAGCAATCTTGTTTGCTTGTAACAGGTTCCATTACTATATCAGTGGAAAATCAGATGTGACCGTCCAGACAGATCACCAACCTCTGGTAACAATCTTCAAAAAAGCTTTGCTTAGTGCACCTAAGCGTCTTCAATGTATGATGTTAAAGTTGCAGAAGTACAACTTCGAGTTGGAATATAAAAAAGGATCAGAAATGACCTTGGCAGATACATTGTCCAGAGCAGCAATACCTTATGATAATCGTAGTAGGAATCAAGAAGACATAGAAACCTCTCATGTTTATAAGATGATTGAAGAAGAGAACATGTTTAAAAGGATGGAAAAGGTGGATCCCACTAAACATCTAAATGTCACGAGTGAACGACTGGGCCAGATTAGGCGAATAACGCTGCAGGATCCAGTGTTAATGAAACTTACATCGGTTATCATCTCTGGATGGCCTAAACTGAAAAGTAGCCTAGATTTGTCAATAAGAGAATATTGGGGCTTTAGAGATGAACTTGTGGTCTTTGATGGAATAGTGTTTCGAGGTAGCCGTTTAGTTGTGCCTAAAGCTATGAGGCCAGAAATGTTACAAAGAATTCATGCTGGTCATCAAGGAATTGAAGCTTCTTTGCGTAAAGCTCGTGAAATTTTATATTGGCCTCGTATGTCAGAAGACATCAGGCAGTGTATTGAGAAGTGTACAGCCTGCCTTCTTAACTCTCCAGAGCAGCAACACCTTCCAATGCAAACTCCTGACACTCCAGACCTGCCTTGGACACACATAGCTATGGATGTGTTTGATTTTAGAGGACAAAACTACCTGGTAACTGTGGATTACTACTCTGACTTTTGGGAATTAGATGAGCTTCCAAACATGACCTCAGAAACTTTGATCAGTGTTTCCAAAAAGAATTTCAGTAGATGGGGTGTGCCAGTAAGCGTAACGACTGATAATGCACCGAATTTTGTTAGTTCAGATTGGTTGAAGTTTAGTAAAGACTGGGATTTTGAACACAAAACATCATCTCCTTATCATCCAAGAGGCAATGGGAAAGCTGAGGCGACTGTAAAAATTGCCAAAAATACTTTGCGTAGGATTGATCGTGATGATGCGGATCTGTGGCTGGCGATTTTAGAAATTAGAAATACGCCTGCTAAGGATGTGGGTGTTAGCCCAGCTCAAAGAATCATGTCAAGAAGGACTAGAACTACTATCCCAGTAACTAGGAGTTTGTTGTCACCCGAAGTACCAAGTGGAGTGAAGTCGAAACTTATTGAAAGGAAGAAGAAATATAAGCGATATTACGACCGAAAGTCCAAGAATCTGCCAGAATTGGAAGTAGGTCAAGGTGTAATCGTAAAATCAAGGCCAAATGTCAAGTATAATCAATGGGAATTTGGTTCAATCAGTAAACAACTATCAGACCGGTCTTACAGCGTAAAGACACCTTCAGGTCAGTTCAGGCGGAACAGAGAATGGATCAAAGTCACACCCCAACAAACTAGTAAGTCACCCACTCTCAGTCCCCACAACAGCCCTTCTCCAACTAAGACCCCATCAGAAGATGAAATGTGTAGCCAAGAAGAACACATAACTCCAAGGGAGATAGTTTCCCCTCAACGTAGGACTACTCGTTCAGGAAGGACTATCCGAACCCCTGAAAGATATAAACAATAAGAAAACTGAAGTAAACAAGTTGTAAATAGAAGAAGTTTTGTTTAATTTTGTTATTTATCTCAGAAGATGTTTATTTGTCATTTCAAATTTATTAAACTAGAGAAGAAGTTTTATTATTTTAAGAAGAGAATGTTGTTTACATATCATTTAAAAATTTGAAAAGTGAAGAGGAAGTTTTATTTGTTTGAAGAGGAAGATGTTATATATGTATATGTATGGCTTTATAAATGGATTCAATCCAGTATGTCCCAATTGGACTGGACTGGAGTAGAACTAGCTCCAGCGGCTTCACGTCATTCTTCACTAATCCAGGTACAAAGTGAGATCGTTTATTACAGCTCTTCTAAGTATATTTTATCATAGTTAACACCTACAGTATTACTCGGCCAAGAAACATAAATTATATTTTTCTTTCGAATTCTTAAAGAATTTCTCTTAAATTTAAGATGTATTTAACCAGTTCTAATTTCATTTCTGTATTACACAATCAAAAACATATTTTACTACCTCAATTGTGAGTTTTTTCTTGACCCGGCAACGCCCGGTTTCGCTGATAGTTAAATTGTAAGATAAAATATCGAGGAAAATCTTGATGCAACATTACATAGTCTTATATCAACAAATAATTGTTTAATGAATAAAAATAAAATCACCAGGCTTAAGGTAGAGGTATATAGTATGTTTAACTTTAGTCGGGAGCATAACTGTTGGTTGGATAATAGATTCGTCTTGTCGAAACGAAGTTTACTGTATCAAAGTGCAGATTTCCAGTGGACTCAGCATCACCCCAGATTGCTACGTCAGCGGATTACTGGAGACGTTTTAGTTTAACTGCGTTGCGGGAAATAAGCCGATTAAACAGAATAATCTGAGTCTTGTCTTTGATAGGTCTTGGTTAAGAGCATGGTTAAAATATGAATTCAAATAAAAGTTTGTAGTGGGTAATGTACTAATTGTACACATTATTATGCTGCTAATCATGCTAATTAACTAATTAAGCTTTACAAATGTATTGCAATATTGGATGCTTCGTAAAACAGCCTTGGTTATTTGGTTAAAAGGGATAATAATTCCTATAGGAAGGTATAATTTCGAATTTGAGTTTAGAACAATAGCCAATATTTCACAATCGAGTATCGCTACCGTCGAGTTTCACGTAGTTACAGTAATGTTGGACACTAATGTTGTCTGTGATAATAGACTTGTATCCGTCTCGAGTATGGACAATGTTCTACGAAGGCTATTGTCCTTACTAATGACCACTCTTGTACTTTAACATGGTGAAAAATACATGGATAAAGCACCGCGTTGAATTGTTCCAAAATAGTATTTTATGGTTTATGCCTAGCCTTAAGTGATCGGATAAACCGGAATGACCACTTAAAAAGTGGTGCTAATACATTCATTAAAGCCCTTTCCGAGTGGAAAATGTGGTACAGATGCCACTATAAACTGTGGGTGCCATTGCCTGTATAGGTTTTTAATTACCAGCTGTCCAAGGAACATGTCGGTCTTAATCAGTAATAAAACTACAAGATCGCGCCACTCATCCTACACTGATCTCCATTCATACTTGGCTTAAAATACTTACATTCGTACAATTTCATAATAAAGTATTAACTATCATGATAGTTGTGTGAAACGTGTGAAATTTGTGTGAATTTTTTGTAAAATTTGAAAATTCACATCACAGTCACAGTCAGTTGTATATCAATCAATTATCAATTATCAATTATTTAAGATGGGGACGCCACTATGTGCGTATTTTAACCCAAATATGAGTGAAGGATGAGTGTAGGATGAGTGGCGCGATCTTGTAGTCTTATTAGTGACTAAGGCCGACATGTTCCTTAGTGAAATATACACTGTGTCGTGACTGATGTGATTGAACTCTGATGTGTTGTGTGTGAATCGACTTATATGTCGTCAAATACAACAGCTGGTTTCTTCTTAACGATATTTTTTTGATTTTTCAAACGCCTGCTTGATGACAACGTATGTTTTCGTGTATTTAGTACTGTTTATAACAAACAACATAAATGGACGATGAACATTTGATAGAGCATTGTTTTTTAATTAAAAAATTAAATGTAACATCAGTAAATAAATAGTCGAAAAACTGGCTGTAACCAATTGATTGTCAGGTTGATTGATAAGTTACGGATGCAATTGAGACTAAACTGTGACTGTATCATGATAACATAAATTTTCCAATAATATCCAAACAGGGCGATTTAAATTTAAAACATGTTTATAACAATCATGTTGGTAATGACTTGTCATTTGACCAATTTAAAACAATCTCTGTCACCAATGCTGGGATAAAACTAAATATAGCTGTAGATAATATAGATATTGATTTATTTTTAATCAATTTTATAATGACTAAGGGGGTGGTAAGGGTATACATAAAAGAAAGACTCAAGTTTTTTTTACATTTAAATTTATTTTTCAGCATTATATATATCTACACATACAAATGATCCCGGCAGTCCTACCTATGTTTGATCAATTTTATAATTCCCAAGAGCAAGAGTATTGATGCCATCTTCTAGAATAAACCTCTTGTCATCGTCAAAGGATAGTACTCTCTTGTTCATGGTCAAGGTTTGAAGGTGATGGTTTGTAGATTTAATTCTTGTCACATTCTCGTAGTAATCTTGCCCAGTTGCAAGACAGTTCAAATAATAGCCCAGTCTATTCACAGCGTTTATTAACGCACGAAAACGTCCGATGTCGCAACTTTTGGACGACAAGCTGAATTTTTCACAGGCGTTAGTACACGTTTTGAGGTACTTCCTCAAAAAAGTCCCCTAAAATCGGGCCGATGCTTTTTTCTATAGCCCTTTAAAGTCAAAAAGGCAAGCTTTTACCACAGCGCCTATTTACCCTATTTACCACCTACGCCTATTTACCACTGCGATATTTTTTATCGAATTGTTTCAAACTTTATACCATTTAGAAGGTAGGTAAGTGATCTAAAAAAAGTGTTTAGTTCGTATTTTTGATTAGGTATCTTAATAGTTTTCTTGTAATTGTAATGTAAAATATGATTTGTTGAAATTTGAATGTTTTATTTTTTGTTTTTACGCTGTAACATTTGAAATAGCCAAATAATCAAAAAACGTTTCCTTGAAAAGTTGTAGAACATGTTTTTCCGCACACATTGATATGTATGGGGGTTCAGTAGGGCAAAATATGAAAAATATATAATTTGTTTGTTTTTTATATTGTGTTATTCTACAGTGAATTCTGGACATTTTGATGCAAAAATTATTGAAATCCGACGACGGGAACTATATTTATTTCGATTTTGAAAAATAAACTACAAAACAATTATTTTGTGTATCCATGACAACTTCAGTTATTTTTTTTTTAGTAATGAAGTTGCTTTTGTCTAACTAAAATTTAGGTTAAGGAGTTGGTACACCTGATTTGTTTGTAAGCAGAAGTCCCATTCTCAGCTGTGTTGTGTAGTCAATGCAATTTTACCATTTATTTTATTTGTAAAGTAAACAGTTATAAAGTTTTATTTGTTGTGTTTATGTAACTTTTGGTGTTGTGAACAGTTTTTTTATACAATGCCTCGCAGTACTAGAGTTTTTAAGACGTGAAAAGAGGAGAAGGGAATTTTGCAAGAAGAAAGTAATAGTGGGGAGGCGAATGGCCAAAATTCCAAAGTTGGCTCACCCCGAAAGGTAACCGGTGAACACTATGCTAGATGATATTGTATAGTAGTAGAGATGATATTTTGACCGGTGTTCACTCAGTATGAGTGGGACTCTCTTTTCTGGACGCTATTTTCCAAAATGGCGGATGGCAATGTTTGATCTTTGTATACTGTAACTCAAGCAAAAAAGATCCGATTTTGATGAAATTTTGTATAAACGTTTAAACTTACATTTATTCGAGTTCGCGAACCAGCATGATCGGACTATGGAAACGGGGGTTTATGGGGGATTATATGGGGTAAAAATTGATTTTTCCATTTTTTTACCCTAAAAACACAAAATTTCATAATTTATGTAAAACTATTTTGTAAAGCTTAAAAAAAGAAATAATTTTGTATATTGAAGCGTTGCTGTATGCCCAACGGTTACAGAGGTAATTAAAAAATTGTAAATTTAAAATTCCCATGTTATTCTTATGGAGAATAAATAAACTGTTGTAGTTTACTTGTTTATGTGTGTATTTAAAGAAAATTTAGAAATTTTGTTAATTTAATACTAAGCTATCAACATCACATTAAAAAAACACATATCAATATCTTCCCTGTAGCAGCAAACCTAGGTACTCACTAAAATTGATGTTTATTAAATAGGGAAAAAACCTGAAAATGGTTAGGGGATATTTTAGTAGAAATCCAGCCAGGTAAATGAAAATTCGCTTAGTCTGCAGGTTTGCTGCGGTAAGAGTATTTGTTACCATATGGGAACGGGGGTTTATGGGGGGTTTCATGGGGTGAAAATTGATTTTTCCCATTTTTGACCCTAAAAACACATAATTTCTTAATTTCTCTCCGGAAATCATTTAGTAGAGCTTAAAAAAATAAAAATAAATTGTATATTGAAGCGTTGTTGTATGCATAACGGTTACGGGGATAGTTTAAAAATTTTGTAATTCAAAATAAGTTAGTATATAAAAGTTTTTTGTACCCTTATTGGCTACGGAGAAAATTCAAAAAGTGTTAATTTAATATTCCCATGTTATTCTTATGGAGGATATTGTCAACTCTTGTAGTTTGCTTGTTTATGGGTATATTTTGATCAAACTTGGTAAACTATTTTATTTATACTAAACTACTATTTTATTTATATTCTACTAACATTCACACTTTATTAGCCTCCCTGTAGTAGCAAACCAAGGCACTCGTTAAACCTAATGTTTTTTAAATTGAATTAATCTAAAAACAAATCAGAATTGATGTTGTCTTTGATAGCTATAAAAATAATTCCATTAAATCTGCGACTAGGGCCAAACGCAAAATCAAGAGCACCCCC